GTAGAAGAAGTAGTAGTAGTGGTGGTGGTGGTAGTAGTAGTCGTCGTAGTAATAGTAGTTGTTGTTGTTGTTGTAGTAGTCATCGTCGTGGTGGTGGTGGCGGTGGACACAGTTGACCCGGCGGCCACGCTAAATCTCCGGACCCAGTTGACCCAGTTGAGGTCAACTGGGTCTGGGCCAACTGGGTCAACTGGGTCCGGAGATTTAGCGTGGCCCCCCGTGCGGTCGCAATGAGTAGATGGGCTAAGGGTGATTTGAATTTGAGGAATGTTCTCAACGCAAATCTAGCTCTGACGCTTCCTGCAGATTGAGCTTTGATGTTGACTCACAGCAACGAGTATCAAATTCTCAGAAAACGGCTTGCAGCCCAACTATGCCTGCAGCAAACAAGTTGCACTAGCCTTCTACAAAATGCATATGGATTGCATTCTAGCCGCTCGCCTGAATATTGGAAAATCAAAACTTAGATTGCGCATGGTCAACATGTTTGTATTCAACATGATCGTCTTCTCTTTTGGAGGATTACAATCACCATGAATCCACGGTCTGAAAAGTGTTCGGACTGTGGCACAAATGAAAACTGACTGCTTCAGGACGGGTAGTTCCAAATCCAAGAATTTACGCAACGAAAAACAAGTCATAGGAGAAGTCAAAACAACAATGTAGTCCAAGCGAAAGAAAAGAATCAACAAACTCCACAGCTGACAGCTGCAATTTTTCGATCTCGCGTTTGGACAAGCCGAGGCAAATTCCGACCCACTTTGACTACTTGGTCAGTCATAGCTCTATTCCTCGATCACTCGTCTGAAAGTCAACATCGTATGTTTTGGTTGGAATGTCTCAAGAGAAAGAAAGTGTGTGCGTGTGTGTGTGTGTGCGTGTGCGTGCGTAGCCCTTTCAGCCTTGGTGAGATACTGGGCGCAATATCTTGTACCTGCTTTGCGTCGTTCTTGGGCGCATTTAAGCCACAGCTGGAGGACACTAAAAGGCTAATGCGAGGCAGTCACGCACGTTATGAATTCCATTTTACCCAGGAGCTTATTTCACCTAGGCTTCTGCGCGGCATGTGGCAGTCGGACCTTAGTGCGCGTCTCCCTGCGAGAGCCCGATGTAGCGCCCTCCGTGGTCATGGAAACGTCCCCAGCGCGGGCGACGGAGTCTGAGCGCAAAGGTTTGTTAGGACATGACAGCGGCCGTTGGATCGCTGGATCCTTGTTCCGCCCTCAGTTTGACACCGGCGTGAACCTCTCCCTCCTCCTCTTCCTTTTACCGCACAGTTCATGGTGTGTCCTGGATGATTTCTTTGTAGCTGGGATTACCTGACCTCCACCTTTTTCGTTTTTGTGTGACCTGGCTCTCCTTGTTTTTCGTGTTCCTGCCGGGGTGTCCCTGCCACAGCTGGGAGCTCTCTTCTCTTGATGTGTCCCTGGACGCTTGGGTCGTAGCTGGGGGCATCGCGTCTTTTTCTCTTCGCCTTTTGTCCTTTTCTCCTTTCTCCCTGTCCCCTCCTTAGCGCGCGGCATACCTATGCCCCAGGTGATGTGGATGAGGTTTTTCTTTTCTCGTTGGCCCCCTTTCACTTGGTTCCCTTCTCGCGTTCACGCACCTTTCTTCCTTTGTTTTAACGCCTTTCTGTCTTCATATCTTCTCACCTCATTGTTTTCTTTCTCTTTCTTGCGCGCACATTCGTCCCGTCCTTAGTGTGTGCGTGCACATTCACCTACCAACTAGGTTTTAGGCGCCCCACCTCGTTTACAATGAGGTCTGGCTCACTGGTTTTCAATCCCTTTCATTTGGCTTCCTGTCATTGCAACTTGACATACATTGGCCCCTTTCACGTCTTTCCCTTCATGTCCGTTCATCCGCCCGCTGTTGTCTGCGCACACAGTTGCTTCGCGCCCACCTTTCCCGGTACGGACAGGATGGAGGCCGTATCGCCCCCTTGCGGAGTGTGTGCGTGTGTGTGTGTGTGGAATCACAACAGG